TGAATCAGTGGTTTTTGTCAAAAATAACGTACTTAAGGGTGGGGATTTATTTTCAGCAAATGCCATTGTCTATAACTACTACACTCGACGTAGTAATCACATTAATCGGGTGACAGTATTAACATCTCACTATAAAAAAAATCATATTTAGTACATGTATATTATTTTACAACTCCTTGCCAGATGACATTAAACCATTAGATTAGATTAGATAATACAAAAGTTGTAAAATATTGTCTGCTGCACAACTGTTTCTATACAATTAGAGACTATACCGAGCATTCAAAAGGAAAGTAATATTAATTTTAACAATGACATTTAATGTATTATATACCATTTGCATTGTACAATTGTAAAGAACCTAAAACAAGTATTATTCTTCAGCTTCTGGGTCAACCCATCTTGATAAGGTTTTCGTCCAATTGCCCGGATCTTCGAGCAAATGCGGAGATGGCTCCTTGTTTTGCTTCTGGGCATAAATGTAACTCCAAATTAACTTCTCCCCATTGCACGTCACTCTCAATTTTTAAACGTTCTTACGTAAATAAATAAATACGTCACAAAGTTTTTACTGTTTATTGACTAAATAAATCTAAATCAAATAATATTTACGAGATAAAACATGTTCTCCTTAGAATTCCTTAGTAGCTCTTTCATTTTCTTCGCTCAGAAATCGTAAAATCGTTGTATGTATAAATGTAATAATGTAAGGCTTCTGTTTATAGTCGGTTCGGTCGATTTCGGCATAACTAAAGACTGAGATTTCCTGGTAAATAACAGGCCAAACCACAAGTTTGCTAGCCGAGTGCACTTGAGCGAATAGAAAAAGCCTTGAGTTCATTAGTAACGTATCCATCTTAAGTTGTTCGTCTGAACAGGTTTTGATCACAAATTTTACGTAATTTTTCTTTGATTTTAGAGCATTTTATTGATCATTTTTGGCGATGTTTTAGTTCACCAAAATCCGCCCCTAATAATGTGCAATAAAGCACACAAAGAAAAGTAAGTTTCAACGTGAGTGCTAACGTAAATTTTGGAGTTAGTGTTAGAATAAAAATGAGAATCATTTTAATTTTAATTTCTTTACAATCATTATTTTTAAATGGTGATTTTTCAACGTCCCCAACTTTAGCCCGAATAAATGCCTTTTTTTGCATGCCTATTTTAGTAAAAATAAATGCCATTTTGCCTGCCTATTTTAGGTAAAATAAATTCCATAACTTCTTGACAATGGAGAATCCCCCATGTTCCTGGCACTACTATTAATGTCCTACGTCATTGACTCCAGTGGACTCCACCACGTGTTCTGGCATAGTTGTATCGCCAGCAGTATGAGCGCAGCACTGGCAGAGCATGACGATTGTCGCGAGATGCAACAAGTTGTTTTGTGACCGCTGCAACGGACATCTTCGTTAAAGTTCGGCTTTAATTTACAAGTGTGTATAAATAAATTTTGTGCTGTATATTGCGTGTGATAGCCACTGTAATTGAAATGGATACTGATAAAATTTTGGATGCGGATGCCATTAAAGTAGAGGTAAATGTTTTCTCTATATTTGGTTTACTCATGGGCCTCAGAACAGTAAAATCAAAGAGTGAGTAAATCTTGTAGTTCTGCAGAATTTTAGTTTAAGCCACATGGTTTTATTTAAGTAAACGTAATGCTAGTGGTAAATTTAAAAAGATCAAGTTATGTCTCAACTATCCATGTTTGTATTATTCAATCAAATTTGATTAAATTATGATCAATGATGATTATGTTAATAAGAAATTAAATTAGGAATGTTTGTAGGAACTTGATTTCTTTGATATCGGGGATGGTTATGTGCTTACTTTGAGACACGTTACCTACTTTAGTAATAGTTAGCTTGTAGTTGAGTTCCAAAATGCTGCCAGAATGCAGGGCAGTAAGTAGAAGTTATTTTTATTCAGTTGATTTTCTGAAAGAAGGAAAACTCAAAACAAACAACCTAAGAGGACTGATTTGTTGCCAGCTTCTGTCATCCAAAACATTACCTAAGGAGTAACAACATAACCTAATTTTATTGTTTATTGTAAGTAAACACGTAATGTAGTGTAGATATTATATCTCAAATAAAATTAAAGAAGTAACCTCACAGATGAACTAGTCTACATGTAAATTTAATATTCATATTATCCACCTTGTTGGTTATGTAATATCTGAAATTTCTACCCTTTGAATTATTTTTTTAATATATATATTCTGAACATTCTAAAGCAAATGTTAAAGGATACTTGTCCCTGGGTGTTCCCCTACAAATTAAGCTCTGTTTTTATTTATACAGGAGGGAAATGTATTTCTTTTACCAACAACTCTGTGATGTATTTTGCCAACTTCATTTTATATATTATAAACGCTTTCTTTCTGTCTCAGTGGATTGATACAGACATTGAATGAGCACATTTTTCAAGAAAATTTATAAAATGTAGTCTCATTACTAAAGATTTTTAAATTTGTGAAGCTTAATTTTATAATCATTTGAATGGGGCCGTCTTCAGAAATTTTTGAGAGGAATTCCCCAAACATACAAGTTCAACTGACACTTGGCAGGGTTCTGAGCCCATAAAATTTCATAAAACATTGTCTCATTTTTCTCTGCGAGAGACTTGGATATGATTTCTTAGAAAGTTACACTGTAAAAGTGAAGACAATTTAATGTTAGTAACTGCCAAGTTTCATAATCATGAACAATTTAAATAATTTTACTGAGGTTAACTTGTATTTCAGTAGGGGTTTTATCCCCTGTACACCACCTATGATTAAGGCTTCAAACTTGGTGTCATGTTACATTGTTTACAAATGTGATATTTGAATTTGTCACACCAAATGCCACTGAAAGAACTCGATTGGGTCGATGTGTTCATGCTCTTTTCAAATATACTTCATTAATAACTCTTAATCATATAGAAATTTTGGCTAAGTGTGTTTTTGAATTAGTAAATATGTTAATTCAATATAGTATATGTACATTTCTGGATTTGGTAGTTTATGAATGTGTTTTAGTGGCAGTTGTATTGAATTTGTGTAAAAGATCATGTTTGGAACTTGAGGTTGTGGTTAATTATTTTAAGAATTTCTCTCTCTCTTGCCATCAGGTAAAGCTGGAACCCGAAGATCACATAGAGGTACAAGATTGGGATTACACAGTGAGTTTTTTGTTTTTTCTTTGGCTGAAATTTAGTGTACGCTACGATCTAAGGAAGTCGTTTAAACCGGCACTTCGCGCCGTTCCGGCATTAACTAGGCAGTTAGTGTACCGTATACTGAATTTTAACCTTTTCTTTAAACAGTGAGCATGTTTGAGTAGGTTTTGTTCAGACTAGAGAATATTTTTTAAAAAAAACTGACAAAGAATAAGAGTATAGTTGTCTGTTCATGTGATACCAAAGTAAAAGGAATACCACAAATTTTTGTGATGTGTACTACATAAATATGTACTTGAATAGAATGTGCCATTTATATATGAATGTGCTTATTAATGTTGTAGTACTACTTGTCCACTTTGGAAATTCCTGTGAATTTTTTTTGTAAATGATTACCACTAAAATGAAAAATAATAATTGTGAATCTGGGGAATAATGTATTTTTATTAGTTATTGTGTCAGATATGGATTGAAACAGGCCAGTAGAATATTTAGCATAAGTGTATTATTCTGTTGTTATGCTAGTTGAAAAACGTAACACGGTTCAGCAAGAAGGAAGGAAGGAATGAAAGTGCACAGGAATATGTATGTCTTTTCTTATCCCTTAACTGTTATCATGAGGTTATTTGTAATCTGACACAATTTGTTTTTGCTGTAAGCATTAAAATGGCCACTTGACAGTATACCTGTTATCTATGTAATCAAAGAGCTAAGAATAATGAGAAAATTGCCCGTAAGTTTGTGAAGGTGACCTATTTTGTCGATAAGCTTCTTGATTTTATCTTGAGTCGGATGTGATTTATGACTGTGGTTTGAAATGCATCACATCTAGAGAGCTCTGTAGTTTAATGCAATTACATGGGTAATTCAGAGGACTCAGGTTCGCTGTTCCAATCCTTACTGGAAATTACTTGTTCCTTTGTTATTATTTTTTTAGCTTGGGAATCTATTCCCTCAGACTGGTAGAGTTTTAAAATTCCTTAATATCTTAAGAAATAGACAGAATGGAACTCAAAGGCTGGAAAAGAAGGTATTATTTGCATGTGTAATAAAAAAAATAATACTAAATGCATTTTCTTTGTGCGAAAGGGAAATATTGAAACCAATTGTTTTTTACACACGTTTGTGAAGATTTGTTCGTTTTGTCCTTTTTGTGAAAAGGCTGAGCAAGTGAGTTCTGGTCATGTGATAAATCTGTATTTTCATATTTCAGAAGAATTTTAGAATCTCTAACAATTGTTGATATCACAATTATTTGATTTGGTGATGTTGGATTGGAATGATTGTGTGAATTAAAAAATGATCTCTAGAACATATATATATTTGTTGTTTTTTTTTCCTCCCATAATAATAGTTTTGCCGAAGGTTACAAAAGTACAGTTACATGACGAAAATTCATAATTTCAATGAAATAAAATGTGTTTGCAAAGGCAGAAAGAGTTTGAAGAATGTTTTCAATGAATTAAATGTCAATCAAGTATGTTTAGAAAATAAAATTTGATACTATTAAAATATCACGTGAAATATTTGTACTCGGAATAAAAATATTCAGAATATGGATACAAAAAATATAAATGGACTGTGGGATATGAAGAAAAATAAAGAATTGGAATTTACTATCCACAAAGCCTGATATCTGGAATTGGGATTTAAATTTCATTAAAATTTGCACTCTAGTTGTTACGTTGTGTCACAGTGGGTCAGCGGCCAAAATTTAGGTGTTTTTTTTAGGTTTTTTTCCCTATTCTTTTTCCAAATGTAATTATTTTTATCTCCTTTTGTAATTATGTTATTTTGAGTTTGGTGGTGAGTGCCTGCCCTGATTTCATTTGCAGGAAGGAGACGGGCCCTGCGCCTCAGAGGCAGGGGAGGAGGAAGATGAAGAGGTGAGCTGGTTTAATTCTTTTCCTCTTTATTGGTCTTTCAAACACTTGTGACTTCAATTTCTTCAGCAGCATTAGTAAATAATTTAAAGAATTATATATATGAACATTGTACAACTTATTTCTACCTGTTTATGGCATTGCTGATGCTTTAAAATGTTTTAAAAAGCTTGTTTTCATGTGCAACGTAAAAAGAAACTTGATACATACATTTGTCTGTTGTTTTCATCCTTGGGCAAAGTACGTAATAAATTATCAATAACGAATTGAAATTAAATAGTATAAAAAATGACAAAACAAAACGAGTTCACAACTCTTCTTGTCGGATACTGTGTTCCGGGGGGGTATGGCCAGTTCCCACCGTCAGGTTACGGTGTAGGAGAACCTAATCCGAATGCTCTGAAAGTTCTTCTTAAGAGTACAATCTTCAAATGTGTTATCAGGCGGCTCAGTAGAAAATTTGTACATCATTTGCAAGCTCTAAATCTAGATCGTACCCTTCCATTCTTATAGGTTTAAATGCAAATATAAATTCATAGTTGAACATTCCTGCGAAAGGGAATCACTGCTGCTGCACATGGCAAAATTGCACTCCTCAAACCTTTTCCTTCCAAGTGATCCTTTTCCCTGTCCTGGCAAACAGTGGTTTCTAGTGGAGACAATTTTGAGTGACCTGCGGCGTCAATCGCCTGTGTGTCGTGGCACGTTTCGCAGGTATCACATTTAGCTATCATCACAGCTGCATTAAGAAGCCCTGTGAGCGCTCTCTTGGAGTGTCTGTGGCGATTTCGAGTGAAAGGTTTGAAGGTTCACAGGCCAGTAGGAGTGTGAGACCGTCTTTCTTGTTAAATGTGCATTTTATTCTATTCACGATTCATAATGCGTGGTTGCTGTGAGTCCTGATACTGTTATTACCTTATTCAAAAATACCCTTCATCTACACATCGAAGAGACATTAAAATATAAAATAATTAGAAAAATATAGTACAAAGCTCTATAATAATCTACTTAGTACTTTCTCACCTTATTTTCTAAGAGAGAGTATTGTAACCATGCCTCTACTGATGAAAAAGTATAAATCTTGTTCCTGTATATAGTAAATTTTCTTTAACATGTTGTGTCGTCAGACTGTGTTTTGTGGGTCCTTCTTGCTGGAAAATCGATTGACAGCAAAAGGTCAGTCTGTCTGTAGTTAATGATAGCACCTAAACCATTCGGGCAATTTTCTTCAAAATTTATACTATTTATCAATTTGAAGAAACTCAAGGTCCTCTTGAGTTTCTAATGGATATTTTGATTTTTGGGAGTACTTTACATGCAACCTCAATTACATTTTCAAATTTTCTCAAAAATGGCTCCAAATTTTTTGATTAAACCTTGCGCTCAGCTATTATTGAGAACGCTTTAGAGAATGACTAATTTTTATTGAAATCTCTGATTTTTTAAAAGTTGCAAAAGTTCATAGTTATTATCAGTGAATTTCTACGGCTATAATATTGAGAATTTTCCCTACACAAAATGTGTTCTTCAAAGACGTCTTGAAATAAGGTCATGCACAATTTTTTGAAAATATGAATAGTTTTCACCTAACTTTCTGTAAAATATAGGCTATTTTCAATCAATTCATTTCATTAAAATATTGTTTTGATGGATTTGCAGGAAGAAGTAAAGCCACCAGTCGGTGTGTTTCTGGTCCAGGAGGAGGCATCCAGCGTGGAAGTTAAGCAGGAACCCGAGGTAAGAGCAGCAGTGCCAACTTGGCAATTTGATACCCAATTTTTGCTGTGCATTGTGGATTCTTCGAAATAGTTTACACCAATAATGCAACTGAATTTTTATCGCAAGAACATACAGAGTCTGGGAGATCTTGTGTGTGCCTTGTCCAGTCATGTTTTGTGTTTAAGTCTCATATAAGATGTTAATACACCTTGTTAACAGTATTTTTTTTTAATAATATTGATGTAAAATTAGTTCATTTAGCATTTATTGATTGCACATTTATTGAGAATTTTTGAATTTGAATATACATAGTAAATAGATTGTTTTAAAAAAAGTTACGTGAATTTCCATATAATTCAACACCCAAGTCTGGTTATGGCTCTTCAAATCACAAGGAGCTTCTTGTGAAGGAGCTTGAAGAATCAATCCAAAGCTGAATAATCATGTGAAAACAAATAATAATAGTAATAATATTAAAATTAATTATTTTTCCTAGTTAATTGTTTAAAATAAGGATTTAATTCCAGCTAATCAAATAACTTTGAAATAAAATACTGTTAAAATAACACAAATGAGTTTGTAGGTCCCTTTGAAAGGATGTGGCTAAAATCAGTTCTAATGATTTGATTTTACAATCTGCCCTATACATGGCCACAAAACTGACTCCTTTACTGCAGCCCATTTATTATGTAATGTGTATTAGTACGCAATCTGAGTTATCCTTAATAAATGTCTGGAGAACTTTTAAATTGTGTGAAATCATTTTATATCTACTCGGTAGAATTACATGTTTTTTTTTTAAATCTTTTTTCTTTTTTTTTTTCTCTAAAAAGGAGGAAAGAGAGTCAGAAAAACATGGGCCTGAGTTGAGCTTCAGTTTTGTTTCTTAACTCATAGACCAAATTTTCAAACTCTTTTTATAGGGGAAAACACCATACCTTGTTTACCTTATAGAGTATCAGAAAATTGATTTTCCTTCCAATAGCCAGAGCATCTATCATGTGCTTCTGAACTTCTCTCTTGTGAGGTTCCATAACAATTTCATCTTACACTAGTCAGCATCAAATGTACATAGAATGTCCCCCAGATATATTCATACATTAGACAGACATTAAGTTTAAGTATTTCTTCTATTTCAAATTAATGTCAGTCCAGTAAAGTCTATTAAACATCTGTCTCTGGGTACAATAATGTAAATGACAAGTTTCACTATATAAGAAGAATTGCAAATTATGCTTTTTTTGTCTTGATTAATCTTTATAACATTGATGTAATAAGCAGAATTCATTTTTTATACAAAGATTAAGCATAAGTCTTCAATTTATTAATCCTTTTGTTATATCAAGATAAATATCTGCCATTATTGAAGTTAACACCAGATATACTATTTCTGATGATGTGAGGAGTATATTCTCCGGATGACAGACTAATAAAAATTCCATATTGGGCCTTATGTAAGATCTCGTTCCACTGCAACAATAATACTTGTTACCATTTTCTTATTTGCAATTGTCTTGAGATTGTATGTTTGGTTAGGGACTTGAATCCCATTGTGTTAAATATCAAACAACTCATCTGTGTAATTTTAACGTTTTATTTTTTGGTAGTTATTTGAGTAATTGTCACATTTTTAGCTTTAATGTCCCTCTTCAAGCACACAATAATATTGTGTTACACTCAGCGTTTTAATTCATTAATGTTAATTTCACAATTTAAGTTTCTATCAGTTGTAATTTTGTTTTACGAATTTCTGCGTGATGATGGGTCATAATAGGCAACTGGGCCAAGAAATGTTGTAGTCACCTATATTTTACAAAAAATTGGCTATTTAATGTGAATGTTATAAAATATTTGATTGTCAATAATTCTATTGGAATTCAATCCTCTTTCTTTAATTCAAATTGCTAAATGATTTTTAAAGACAAATGTCTAGCATAATAAAGTACCTTGGTGACTTTTTGGCCACCCAATTTTTTTTCAGGAGAGGTTTCAAAGTAATACCTTTGACACCATTATGCAAAAACTAGAACTGTATTTCATTCTTTCAATTTATCCAAAATATAACCTAAACTGACATGGTTACTATTGGTTGTCTTTTATAAAGCAGCATTCATTATTTATATATAAAAAAATTAATTTGTCTCAACTTTCTGGTTATAATTGAGCCTTTTTACACACACAAAAATGTGTTCCTCATTTAATTCAATACACAATTTGAAATATTTGATCATTGACACAACAATGATGACATCTATCAGATTCTTGCCAATGTATCGTACTGTGAATGGAAATGGAATGAACTGTCATTGGCATTGTGGGCATTGTACTGTTTCAGTTTAGAAATTAAATTCTAGGAGTATAGCCACTTGCTGTGTAGCCATAGAGAGTAAAATAGAATTCTAAGAGTGTAACTGTACGTTAAAAATGCGAAAAGTGAGATCATCAAAAAAAAAATGTACAGCAGCTAGTGAGAGTGTTTCGAAAAGACATGTCTACAACTGACAGGAACGTATTATATTTCAATCCGTTTAATGTGAAACTGCAGGGGGAAAAAAAAAATGTTGTGCAGTAGTATATTGCTTGTGTTAATTTGAAAGTGATGGCAAGTAACAAAGGAAAGACATGTTTTCAGCTTCTTTTAGGGCAGAGTACTAGTACCACATTCAGCAAGCCCTGCGCATTAATAAATAAATACATTTTTTTAAAATTAAAAAGAATTAGAATTTCTGTCTATGCTGAGCAAGAATTACTTCAGGCAGTGTTATGAAGAGACACTCAGCAGAATCGGGAACAACATAGGAGGCAAGTTAGTTTGTTTCAATTGATAGAAGCAGGGAAGCTGAGTGCCAGGGTGTTGCTAACGTCATTGTTGGAACACTGGAGGGAAATTTGTCCAGGCAAGATGCAGCTTATAGAGAAGAGTACCCATTCCACAAAATGCTAACTATTTTATAAGAGTATGAAGAGTTTGAATCCTCAGTGAGTCCAGCAAGAAAAAAAAATTCAGTCTTTTCTTACTGATGCCTTACCTATTTGGTGAAGGCTGCAAAAGCAAACAAGACATTTTATACTAAAGTGGAGTGTGTGAAGATGTGAAGAAACATTCTCCTGATGTCGATTCGTTTATTTCAAACCCAAAGGGGTTTCTAAAGCCTGCTATTAAGTTCAGACTTTTTGAGAATACACTGTGGATCTACCATTGCCTCCGCAGCCAATAATCACAAGATGGGGAATATAGTTAAATGTAACCTTGTATTATGTATGTGATCATTTCAATGTATTTATGTCCATAATTGATAGTTTTTATGGAGACACATCAGCAATCAGAATCTGCCAAGAAGTCCTGTCATACATAAGTCAGTTTAGCTGTGTTTAGAAACTGTGAACTATTTAGAAAAATAAGGAGAACCCATGTTAGTTCAAGATCTAATTGCCAAAGCTGTAAGCAACAAGATGTAGCTAGTTCTCGAGAAAATGGTTTTCGTTGCTAGATTTCAAGGATTCTCCGAGGCGATGTTGTGACCTTCAATTTGAACCACTGACATCAGTCAGTGTAGAAAGGAGTTTCTTGATGTATTGAAATGGTCTGGCGCATAATCACAGATCCTTCACTTTGGAAAACATGAATTTACATGGCTGTGTACTGAAATGCTGAAGAAGATAAGGTAAGTTCCTAATGTTTTCACATGTTTAAGTTTTAAAATTAAGATATATTATACTCATACCTGTAATTAAACAATAACTTTGATTTTCTTTTCAGATACTGGTTGTCAATTAGTGGTTTGAAATTCTTGACTTCCATGTTATGAAACTACAATTATTTAAATTACATAAACCTAAGCTAGCTAGCTCTGTAAAGTAAATGAACTGATGCATCTTGCATGCAAACAAATATTAATATTGTAGTATGGTAATGTAGTATAATAATTAGAAATATAAATATTTAAGTTATTTTTTTTAAGTCAAGTCAAGTAGTTTTAATGAATATTAATGTATTTTTATACCGTATTGTCTAAATAATATCCATCTACTTGAGAGAGAGAGTGGCCGACAAAAAACTGGTTCAAATATCCAGTCAGAGGCTTAAAAAAATTGTGATGTCGTCATGGCAGTTGCCGATGCTTATTAAGAAATAATAAAAATCTCGCGTGAAGCATTTGAAAATTGAAGAGCGTCATTTGGTGCCTTTACGTATTTGATTATGCTTTGTGTATGCAGTTGTGTCATGTACTGTTCTGTACTCTCAGTACAATTTATTGCTTGCTTGCTACTGCTGCTGCTGATGCAAGAATGTCACAAGACCACATGTTTGCTGCCTGAGTAAGAGGCAACATTGCTGTATCCCACCCCCAGCTGACAAGTAGACAGAAATATTATTCAGACAATATCACAGGATTTTAAATGATATTTTCGATTATTTCACCTGCTTCCTCCCCTATTTGTTGTTTTATTTCACTTAAACGTATGATTTGTAGAAATCTAGATAAATTTGGACTGAATAAAAATCAATATTGACTATTATTTTTGTACTCGTGCAGTGAAGTTCCAGAAATTTATTTATTTAAAAATGCTGAGAATATGAATCGATGAATGAAGCCTTTTGAACTGTTGTTAATATTAACTCTTATTTTTGAACTTGTCTTCTACAATGAAGTATAGAAATTGATTAATTTAAAACTTGCTTAATGTGAATCCTTGAGTAAAGCTTTCTAAACCATTGTAATTAATAATCTGAGTTGATTTTGTGCAACAATTCTATGTAATTTTTTAAAAATTAATTTTAGGGCTTTTTTGTAAATATAAGAAAATTTTATTGATCATTAACAACTATTTTTTAAAATTGTGAAAATCTGTTCCTATGTAATAAAGTAAGACCAATTGGAATATCTATTAAGAACCATGAAAAATGCTTTATGAATGTTAAATGCATATATGTCAATTATATATTATATTACAATATCAATTGTGAAATTAGTTTCGATGATGTGTTTCGAAACTTTGGTGCGGTTGTTCGTGGCAGAAATTTATGCGAGATATCCAGTGCTTTTGGATTCACATTATAACTGTACTGTGGTTAAACAAGAGCGACATGTAGGAGAAGATTGTGATAGAGTTTAATACCTCAAATGTTGAGAAAGCACCATATAAAATTGCTCAGTTGTGAGGTAAGTATTATGTTGATATATTTCCAACTTTAGCATCGTTGTATATAATTCTCATTCAAAATGGTACACTCTTCTATTGTAAATTGCTTACATTTATAGAATGAAGCACGGTGTGTGTCTTTAAATTGTTAACTACAGTAATTGTATCATGACCACATCTTAATGTAACATTTCCCTGTAGGTCTTTGGAAAAGGTTACAAAGGATGCAAAAAACGACAATGGTAACCATAAGAAGTTGACTCTGAAGACTGAGAGCAGGCCAAGTATGGCGGTTTGTAATAAGACGGCCATAGAAATGGCATCAAAATTTCTCAGGAATTCTTATAATGCATTGGATGACCCTTGTGATGATGATATGCTCCCATTTCAGATACCCATTTCACACAATTCTGTGGATATGTTTGTTGTTGTTTCTCTCTCACAAATATTTAAAGTGTGTGGTTAATTTTGTAGGAAGGTCCTAGAATAGCAGCAGAAACAGAAGAAGATGTAGGAGAAAAGCTTGCGGCTGAAGCACAACACAAAAATAAGCAAAAGAAGAGGTAAAATGCTGGCACTGTCCATATGCATGTACTACATTAACTCGGTTAAAGAATGAACTTCAAACTATTTGCAATGGATACTTTGTGGCAAGTTATTTGTTATGTGCCCGATTAAGATAAAATTAGCTTGACCAAGAAATTAAGAATGTGCATCTGTCACATCGTGTATTTACATTTAATTGTGGCAAGAGCTTCAGTTTCTAAGTGCTTTATCTTTGGTATGAAGGGTTCAGCAAGGGCTGTCCTACATTTTCCTAGTTCTGAGATACTGAGAACTAGAACTTTCATAATGTAACTCAGTAGATTTTTAAACTTTTAAATACAGAACTCTTGCATACAAGTCCATACTGGATTTAAATAACACATTACACTAAAAGAATAATATTTTAAGTTATATTTAATGCTAATAACTCAATTTCACAAAAAATGTGGGATTCCCCCTTGTTCTATTGAGCCCTTCAATGCAGGAAGCTTGTGCTTAGGGTCAGGGTTACCCTGCATTAGCCTTTTCTCTGCATTTGTTTCCCCCCCCTTCCGGGGCTGTTGGAATGGCATTGGAGCCCGTGATGCTTCATTTAATTTGGGGGCCCCTATTCTTGGATATCTCCTCCCTCCCCCCAAACATAAATTAGGTATAAGTAAGAATAACAGATTTATAATGACATTAAAAAAGACTACCAATTAAACAGTTTTATTTTTTATTGAATTGTACAATATAAAATTGAAGCACAACAACCAGCAATATTCCATATTATAAATAATATCAAATGATGCATGACACATCACTGTTATGCCAATTGTTTGCCAATAATTCAGTCATACATCACTTTTTTATACGCTTCTTTAATTTTAATTTTTTGAAAATTTAGTATTAAATATTTTATTAAGAACTGTTTGGGGCCCTTGAACATTGGGGGTCCCTAGGCCAAGGCCCTTCGGGCCCCTGTGTTACCATGGCACTCACTCTGTTCAATTTTATGGTATTAAAAGTTGAACAAACTATGTTTGATATATAATTCTGAAGAAATATCAGTGAAGCTAATGCATTATATATTTCCAAAACATTCCAATTAGATTAACTAATCAAAGTGTATTAATGGTTCCTTTTTGAAGGAACATGTAAGAAGTGGCATATTTAAATTAATTGAGAATTATGATTGAAACAATTTGGGAGGGGAGGAGGTACGTGAAAAGAAGCCCTTGGGACACTTTTGAAATTTTCAAAAACATTGCTCCATCAGTTTTGATTAAATTTTGTTGGATACTGTGAAAGGCATACATTGAAAACCCAGAGTTTTTCGAAAATTGCAAAAGTAAAAATTTTTGCAATCTTTCTACAACTTAAATATTGAAGAGAGAGATTTTTTCCTGTAATGAAATCTGTTCCTTAAAGATAGATTTTGAAATAAGGTCATATACAATTTTTCAAAAATTTGAGTATGTTTGCGTGAATATGGGGGGGGGGGGAGTATGTGCTGCTTTAGCACAATTTTGTGTCGAAATGTAATTATGAATTACAGTATTAGTAATCTTTATAGAGTAGTAAAAATAGCAATAAATAGCAATATTGATAAAGATTGAATGAAAGTGAGATATTATTGAGATTTTAAGTGCACAATTTGTTCTTTTGTAGAAAACAATATGTCTTTGACAATAACCTGAGATTGAAAATCGCAAAGAATAATTTGGAAATGGTAAAGGAAAGGATAATTATGGCAGAAAAGGAGTACGCAGCAAAGATGGCCATTTTGAAGCTCCAAAAAGAGATTGCGCAGAATAAATTATTTGCTGCAGAAGCTAATTTGACAATGGTAGGTGTCGATTTAGATTAAATTATCATCGTATTTATATTTTTTACAGATATTTGGATAAAATTAATTTTAAATACTTGTTATACGCTAATATGGGTAATTATTTCATTGGTTTCAGTGGTATTGAAGGTTCTGTATTAGTTAGATATTAAGAAAATTTACAAAAATTACGTTGCCGTTGTACATACAAATTGGTTAACTCGTTAAATACTGATTATTGCCATAGGGGTTATGACTATAAAAATAAAATTAAATAATAGTGTGCGTGTGTTTATTGAAGTGTGTGTGTGTTTTATCATTGTTTATTATTATAATTTGAGCATGCCATTTTAAAATTTAACTGGAAAAAATGTTAATGACCAAAACTTCACTGTTTTCATTAATTTTTAAAAACCTTTTACTTTCCATTCTGGTTGTAATGTAGTTTTTTTTTGTTGTTTTTTTTTGTAGGTTACTTCAAGTATAGAAGATAGCTATTGGAAATTAAACACATTATTTTTTTAATAAAATATTTTTTTTATGAAAAATGATTTGCAATTATTCTTCTCCTCTATGTACTCCTGTACCTCATCCCTAACATTTTCTACATTATTATCTTCTTTCTTACCGCAATATTGTAGTTGTCACAATAATTTGTTGAAAATTCTCCAATTTCACTCGGAGAAGGATTTGGAAGCATGGAAATTTCCTCTTCCATTATCCAAAAATACTTCGATAATGTTTCTAGCTCGTTTGTGAGCAGCACTGTATCTACCTTTGCTGTAGTACTTTCATGAAGAATTGCAGCCAGTAGGTAGCAAGTACATGGATACCCACAATCTCCATGAAGTTGGTCAATTATGCACTACGCTCCAGCACATCCCTAATTGTTGTATTTCTGATGATCGTGTTGTTCTGGGTGGAACCTGGCCATCATGCGACAGTGTTTATTATATTAATTTCATGGTCGCAAACAACTTAAAATTTTATATATTAATGTTTAAGCTTATTCACTAATTTAAGAAAGTTTTGAAGGTTTGAGAATTATCAAATACAGTAAAACTAAGATTTAACATGACCTCCATTTTATGGTTTTGAATTTCTGAAAGTCCAGACTGCCTGTATGTAAATAAAGCAATTATCTTTTCAATTTAATGACATTAATCTTCTACAAATTGGAAACCGATGCCATCATTTAACGGTGTGGTAACTGAAAATGACATGATATGGTGATGAGAGGGGGTGAAAGGACGGAGCAGAAATATTTAAAAAAATAATTAAATAAATAATTAAATTAATAATTAATTAAATAAGTGCAACCATGCCTGAGGCGGGACTCGTAACGGGTTATTCAGGTTGTCATCTTTCATTAGGAATGGTTTATTTTGATTGATTTATTGCATCGAATTTTTGTTAATAGTACATTTCAACATGCTTGTACTATTACTACTTATAACCTTTTTGGGTTATTTTGATGTTAAATAGTCTACTCAGACTACATTACCTACGTAGTCTGCACATAGAGAGTCGTGTAAATACACGGAATCTATATATAGATTGCGAGTAGAAAACACACGTAGACGTAAAATTCGTGTGTACGGCACAACTCGGTTATACTGCTTGCTGGTCTGAATCTTGTGACATAGAATGAGTGTTCCCCATGCGTATATGCCAACGAGCTAGTACATCTAGCTCGTTAGTATATGCGTAAGTGTAGCTCTCACTTTTGCATTTTTTGTTTCGTTGGATTGAGGTTGTATGCGAGTTGTTTGAGCGTGGGACGATCGGAATGGCTGCGAAAAGGAAGACTCATTCAGTAAGTGAAAAGGGGATCGTTATTCGAGAAGTTGGAAATAATTTACTTGTGAAAATAGCGGAAATGGCTAGGAGGTTAGGAGTGGCAACATCGTCATTAAATTGCGTTCTCAAGCCAAAATTTTCAATTTTAAATGCAGCTAAGTGTGGGTCGACATTGAATAAGAGAGAACACAGTGTTCTCCATTTGAAGAAGTGCAGAAAATACTTGTTAGTGGTTTGTCACATGCTGAAAACATTCTTGTATATGGTGGTCTGCTGAAAGAAAAGGCAACACACACCGTGTGGGGGATTGGTGACTTTAAGGCGCGCAACGGATAGGTGGACAGATCCAAAAATCGAGACGGCGTTACCTGCAGGGCAGTTTGCGGGGAGAGTGCGGAAGTGAATAACACAAGTCACTGGAAAGACGAAACTCTTCCGTCTCTTGGTTGGTTAGGAAATGAGCAACGAATATAACGTAGATGTAAGCTGGTGTTTTTTGCCATTTAATACCTTCGAACACCTTAAGCAGTAAGGGTGAACCATGTCATGTTGGTAAGCACAGTGAAAATCGATTAACTGTTTCACTATGTCGTAATGCAGATGGAAGCGACAAACTCCGGCCAATTGTTATTGGAAAATGTGCCAATCCTAGAGGCTTTGAAAGGGCTGTTACTCTGCTTTACAAGTATTACAACAAAAAGAGTGCATGGATGACGACTGAATTTTTCACAAAATTCCTTCAGGCATTTGATGCAAGGATGTGTGCCGTAAACAGAAACGTTCTCTTGTTTATGAATATGTGTCCAGCACATCCTTTGCAGCAGCCGTTTTTGAAGAATGTGGAAATTCATTTTTCCTCTCTAAATAACCAGTAATCTTAAACTCTTGAATCTTGGCATTATCCACAGTTTTAAGGTTTAGTACTAAAAAACTCTAGTAAGGAAATCTATAGCCTTTATTGAGCTATGTACATGTTAACTGCAGCACGGAAGGCTGTTTCTGTGAAAACTATTTCAATATGTTTCTGTAATGTATAATGAACATATTGATGAAGATGAATAGAGACAATTGCGCTCTGATTCATCAATCAATTTTCATAATTATGCTACTGTAGATGACAACGTTGACATCAGTGGATCGTCCAACGTTAATGTTCTGTGTTACAACATAATGGAAGGAGAAGAGGAGGATGATAATGATAATGAATTTTCGGCGAAGCAAAATGTTGGCAAAATGTGAAACTTTCGGTTAGCAATTACGAACAGCAAACACTGCTGAAGACATAGAACAACATAAAATGCCCCGTATCCTTACCTGCCTCTACAACTCCTCAGTCCAAACCCTGCAAAAGTTCATCACCAATCCTCAGTTCAGAAACCTAATCCTACCCCACCACCGTATCCTCAGAAATCCCTCCCATCGACATCCTGCAACTCCCTCCTCCATAACCTAGGCCACGGGGTGGAAACAAAAGAACCGACAAAGACCACTTAAACCACAGACTCAATACTGACCCGTGTCGAACCGAAGACAAACACTAAATATTCCCAATCTCTCCTATATCCTATCCCATTCCCCTCCTAAATCTATACCTCTCCCTTTCCCCCACCCCCAAAACCACGTAACCAAAACTACCCGTCACTTTCCTACCCCGTCTTCCAATCCCCACCTGCTCAGAGACGTGCAGAATCTTCAACTAAATGTGCATGAGGGACAGGGAGACGAAGACAGAAAGGGAGAGGGAAGGAGAGAGAGGGAGATGAAGGGCAGAACAACATCTGACGGGTTCCGCTAGTTTTTACGTAATTAACATTCTGCTGTTGTGCTCTCATCAATTCTGAAATTCCAATCGTGTTTGCTTCATGCACTTTGTGCTATTGATTTTGTTGAAATATGTAGAAACATTTAGTGAATAATACATTTTTAATTCCTTTCTCAATAATTATTTACTAATTATAATTTTTTATTGGTCGCTTCACCTTCAAAGTATCCAAGTCCCATTCTAGCATATGCACTAATAGTTTTATTTTGTATTACTAATTTGTGTGTATATATATATATTAAAGTTTTGGAGCCTCCTTGTGATTTGGGATTTTTTAACTAATGGCTGAATTGGTAGTGGGTTAGAAATTGGATTATTATAATATTAGTAAATCAGATTGTAGGTAGACTGCCAATTCGCAGGAAAATTTTATGATACTATATGTTAATTATCTATACTAATAAAAGTTAATTTGACATGTAATCGACTTCGATTCCACAAAAAGGAGCGTATGAGTACAGGCTCTTCAGAATTTGACGTAGTGTCCTTGCAAAGTTTGGTGAAGATTAATACAACACAAATGCGGAAAATAAATTAAATAATATGCTAGTAGATGCACCACTATCATTATTTTCACTATTTCGCTAAGAGACAGATTCCTAGTGTATTCCGCCAGAGGTCAGTAGCGTGCGATAGAACAGTGTGTCCGATCTTCACAAAAGATGGCACATCTACATGTTTTTATGCTCTTAATTTTGATGTAACTGTACTACATAGCGCTGCAGCACAAGATTGCCCTTAATTTTGATTCAATTTCCATTCAAACTTCCAACTGGGCTTCATCGTTGCCGGACGTTGCCATGTAACGCAGGGTGAGGCCGGGAAGGGCAGGAGAGGCAGATAGAAAAAGAGATGCAGGGAGAGAGAGAAAGGGACAGAGAGAGAGAGAGAGAGAGAGAGAGAGAGAGAGAGAGAGAGACAGACAGACAGATAGACTGGGACAGACAGACAGACTGGGACAGACAGACAGATAGACTGGGACAGACAGAGAGAGCGAGAGAGAGAGAGAAAACTGACGAGGCGGAGGCAAATGGAAAAAGAAAGGAAGGAGAGCAGGACGTCGGCCAGTAATTCCGCTAGTAATTAATAAGCATCAAGCATGCGATTTGTTGACAGAATGTGACCTGTTCTTGACGTACGTTCGTTCTCTATTACAATCTGTTTGCCATGAGGATGCGGTGTTGACTAAATGCATTTCTTTTTCCTCTGCAGGATCCTTTGGCAGAGTGCCTTGACAATTTCCTCGGAGAAAGCTTATGGTCTGTTGGTGAGTACAAAGATACGTTGCTCTTAATTATTGTCATTGATTGTTTTCATTATTTACTTGCAACTCTGCAGAAATAATATTTTCCTTTTATTTCTTTACATTTTGAATCACTTTCAGAAGTTGGGATTTGGCACATTTAATAATGTTCCATGAGCATTGAAAACCATGCTGAAAATAATATTTTTTAAATAAAATTAGTATATTCAGGCCAATTTATTGTAAAAACAAATATTTCGCTCGCTTGAATATATTTTGCTAACTCGAATAGCTTACCTGAATTAGTCAAATCATTTTTTGAGCAGTTTGTAATAGTTTTTTAATGTTTTTATTTAATAGGTAATTATTACACTTATGAATCAAATAACATGATACTATGGGCCTAGACCGAAGGCCTTTAAGCCATTACAATACCTATATCCTACCGTGTTCTAACCTTTCGAATTCTGGTATTGACTCCAAATGGCCTCTCCAGCGCATTAAAGCCTTGGAAAAGAGACCATGAGGTACGGCTGACGAAAAAAACCCTAAGGGGGGAAAACCTGCCGTCAGAAGCCGAGAACTTGCTAATCTAGCGGACTTTTTCTTAGCTATTTATTTTTTTTCTGGTGCGGACGTTAAGCAATCTCCCTCCTGTCTTAGCCTCTTCAGAAGTGTTTGCAGTTCGTAATTGTTAAGTTTTGTTTAACTGGACTTCATAATAAGTTGAATAGACACAAAGAAAACAAATCGAGAAATGGCCTTTGAAGTCACTGCGCATTTTTACGTGCATTTTTTGTGTCAATATATTGCGAATTGTATTTAAGTAATAAGGGGTTTCTTTTTTGTTTAGTGGAGTGGATAGGGTAGTCGACATAAATGTAGGTCTAATACTGGTAATTTTGATGTGGTATTGACAAAATATTTGTCCGTTTCAAGTAAGTCATAAGTGATACGTTTTAATCATTTAGAACTAAGGGCATCACTGGGTCCATCTGAATGTGGCTTTATCTGCTTCCCAGCGTTCTCGACCTTTTTCTCGAGATACGTTCCCCTTTCTGTTTTCTTGTTGTACCGTTGGTGTAAAAATTGAATCTCCATATCAGAATGTCCATTAACTAATACAATTGTAAACCCGCCATTAAATCGCCCGGGAAGTTTAAAAGCCAAATCCTTTTACTCGTTTGGGTACTTATTTACCCCATTTTTTCTATTCAGACAGGAGTTCTAACTTTCTATAGTGTATCCCCTTCCGTCTCGTCTGTCGTGGTTTACAATGGCTTCCTCTGCCCTGGCCTGCGCAAACCCAGTCCTTGCTCCTTGCCACCGTTCTTTTCCTGTGCTGCCTTGCCTGACGCCGATACTACCGGCCTTATAATCAATATTTGCGTGATATCGACTTTTCATTTTTTGTTTCCAATTAATGTTTATATTAAACAAAAATGTAAACTACACGTAGAGGCATCGTGGCTTCTAGCTTTAAATTACACCTTATTTGCTACGATTGACTGGGTAGTTCATCCAGAAAAGTGATGTTTACTTAATACTTAAGTTTAGTATAACAATTGAGAAGCTGTGATGGGAGGATAATTCATCCATTTGACAGCTTGCGCCACACTAGCGCTCCTGGTGTCCAGCAAGAGGCATGTCTTAAAGGCTACAAGAGATAACTGTACGGCCTAGTGGTTCATAATTTTTATTGTTTACAATTTTAGAACACTTTGAAAAAAGCACTTGGGCAGGTTAGTACATAATATTTGAAAATTAGCATTATAATACAACGCTCATTCCAAGATTATATTATAATACAAATTTATTACTGTCAAAGGGTTGAGAGGATAAAATCTACATGAACTGTGCCGAAGCAAAACAAGGGACCATCTCAACATTCCTCTGTGACACAAGGAAAACTGCACGAAAAATCTAATTGAAATGTGGTCCTACAGCCAGATGTTATAATGCTAAAAACTAATTTCACTTTTAATATGATAAATTAACAATGATAAAATATCATAAATCAGGATGTACATGGACATTTATTAGCTGACGTATATAAAATTACTGAAATGCTGAAAGTACAAAAAATGTACACAACACCAAATAACAGGTAAAGAAGAAAACGTAATTGGAATCGGCTTATTGGAAATAGGCTTTGAAATATCAATATTCCAGAACAATTTTATGAACGCTTTCCTTTCTGGATCTTTAGGACACCTAAAGACGAGTAGTTGCCAAATTATTTTTATTGTTGCTACAATCGATAACACAATAGGCATTTCCATATGTTGGCAAGGTGGGCGGCGGTCATGGCCCTCGCACAATACAAAACATGGTGGGAATTTGTGTGTTTTGAAAATAGGCATATAATGAAAATTAAATTCGTAATTGTTTTTGTCATTTCAATACCTTATTTGTATTCCAGCGTTTGTTATGTTCCAAAATTGTGGTATATTTTATACTTTTAATTTTATATTTATATTATATCTTCAAATAGCATATTTTTAATGACTCGTAATGACAATGTAATAATACAAAAGCAAGTCCAGGTTGCTTTCGCTAATGTGGAAATCATGTTGAAAATTTATCTTTTGATGATAACTAAATGTCAACTGAAAGATCGTTTTGAAAATTAAAAATAGTTAAAAGCAAATTGCGAACGTCATTAACTAGACATCTCAACGATCTCGCTATTTTAAGAAGCTGTAAGTATGTTTTGAGGAAAATAAGTTTTCCCGATGTGGTAGACGATTTTGCGGCATAGAAAGTGCCTTTTAACATATTTAAATGTATGTGTTATAAATGGTATCCAAAAATTAATAATTGTAACAGTATGTATAATAAGATTACTGAAAATTAATAAATATGAGTAGTTTCAAGACGTTTTTAACGTTTTCTTAAGATTTCTGTACCAAATTTTTGTCCAGGGGCTCCCATCACAGTAAATCCGACCCTGCTGTCATAAACCACAAAGCAAACCGCGTGTTAACAGTATGCAAATATGTATGCTGTTATATTAAGCTGTACGTTATGAAAATTACGATGATGGCGCTCATCGTTTTCCACAAGCTAACACCTGTTGACAATGATGCCGTTCTTTAAAAGCGATAATATGCAAATTAACTCGGTTGTGTGGAATACATGTCTCATCAAAGTTTTCATTTCAGTTCTTAGGGGAATAATACATTTTTATCAGTTTCTGAACTAAATTATTAAGGAAATAGTGTAGTTATATAAAAACATGATTTTAACTTTTATCACAAACGAAAAGACGCTCAGGCTATTAAAAGTGAATCATTGACCTTTATATGCTATCTTTACATGTTGAATGTGATTGATCCAACCAACCTACAGTACGTCGCTAGACATGCCTATGACCTGTTTCCTACGATGTTTTCTAGTTTTCCCCAAAACGCTCAGGGTTTCCTGCTAATGGAGCGTTTCTGCCAACAGACGGGGAGTCGGGTGCCGAGGATTCGGAGAGCGGAGCGAGCAACCCCGTCGGCCAAGAGAAGAGCGCTCCGAGTGAAGAGCGGAGCCACGAGTGCTCCGTGTGCCGCAAGCGCTTCAAGCAGAAGTGCCACCTGACCAGCCACGTGAAGCTGCACAGCGGCGAGCGCCCGCACCAGTGTTCGGTGTGCGAGAAGCGCTTCGCGCAGAAGGGTGTGCTGCTGATGCACTTGCGGGTGCACAGCGGAGAGCGGCCGTACGAGTGCTCCTTCTGCCGCAAGACGTTCGCGCGCAAGTGCAACTTGGTGGACCACGAGCGCATCCACGGCAGCGGCCGGCCGCACGAGTGCCCGGTGTGCAGCAAGATCTTCTCGCTGCGCAGCTACCTGCGCAGCCACATGCTGACGCACCGGCCCGAGCGGCCGCACGAGTGCTCGGCGTGCGGCGCGCGCTTCGCCCTGAAGAGCGCGCTCGCCACGCACCTGCGCACGCACAGCGGCGAGCGGCCCTTCGTGTGCGCCGTGTGCGACAAGGCCTTCGCGCAGGCCAGCACGCTCAGCGGCCACATGGCCGTGCACAGCGGCAGGCGGCCGCACGAGTGCGCCGTGTGCAGCAAGGCGTTCGCGCGCAAGACGGTGCTGGCGGCGCACCTGCGCGTGCACAGCGGCGAGCGGCCGTACGAGTGCGCCGAGTGCCGCAAGAAGTTCTCGCATAAGAGCAACTTTCGCAAGCACGTGCGCACGCACAACCGCCCGCGCTCGCACCACTGCCACGTCTGCCGCAAGACGTACGCGCGCAACAGTAACTTGGTCAAGCACATGCAGACGCACGGCGCGAAGTCGACCGATGAATGCGCCGCCCCCGTCTGACTCTAGCCCGTTCTTCTGGCTTTTCTTTGTCTTTCGCTGAACGGTGCTCAACACATTCAGCAACGTCCGGCTTACGCGGGTGGGACATGAGTCCCCAGCTTCATGGAATAGGAAACAAGTTTCTGAAGACGAATGAACGGCGTTTTGTGAACTGGGAGCCTGCGCCGCAACTGCATTTGACCGGCGCACTGTGTGTATACGGCTATGTATAAAATACAGCGGAAAAAACTGAAGTTTGCAGATTACTACTACTTCTACAACTTCATTGAGGAAAGCTGGAGCATATGCAAGACGTGCACATTTTACCGTTCTCAGAAATGCTGCTCCTCAACCCTTAAAAAAGGGATTTTCTTGTTACTGTGTGAGCACAACGTAATTTGGGTCGATGTTTACCATTAATGGTACAAAGAGATTCGCGTAGAAAGTGTTTCGTAGTTTTTCGATTTTGTTGCAGGCTGCATATCACCGCAACTGAACGAGCTTTTTCAAGACTCGAAGTTCTGTTGTAGCACGGGAGGTCGTTAGAGAACAGCGAATACATTGGAATGCTGATGGCCGGCTGCGGGCCTAAAATCGGACCCGAACGCCGGGAGGTGCACGATAGAGGGGTCTTTCAAAATCTCAATCCCGGTTTTGTCAATAGGAAAATTTTCATTTTTCTTGATTTCTCGAAAAAAGTAGATGTTTACTTCCGCAATGCATAGAACTATTCTCGGAGTTTCAACCCGCCACGCGCACAACCACCTGGGCATTATTCAAAAATAGAAAAATCGCCATGAAACTACAGAAATGAAGCGTGTCAGCAATATCACATAAACTTTTTTGTTCACCTTATTTAGAAAACGTGAGTTTTGTTGCTGAAACGATTATATCTACATACATGTGCTAGTGAGTAGTTTCAAGTGGTAAATATGTCATCGTATCCTAATCGGGGAGATAAACAAACGTTTTCTATTGCATTTTCCTCAGAAATACTTCGTTTCTGCACAGCAGTTTCTTCCCGATTTCTCTTCTATTCTCGTCTCGCCATGTAAAATAAGGCATTAATTCAATTCAATTCAGTTCTATAACGATAGTTCTAAAAGTATCGCGGAAGAAAAATGAACTTAAAAAACATTAGTGATTTGGCGGGATTGTGACGACAATTACGACTGCATGTATGCTTGCGATCGCGCCATTTCAGGCTATCAAAAAATGTGCCCGCCACTCGGTCGTCAGAATTGTAGGACCCTCGCTGTTCACAAATGACCCTAATAACCTTTCGGGGACTATAACAGCGGTTCGAGTCTTGGAAAACCGTAAAACTGCCGTGGTATATAGGCTGTGACGAAATCGAAAAGCTAGAAAAAAATACGAGAATTCATGCATGTGAGGCCAAAATGATAAATTATGTTTATTGCTAATATAATGTGGAGCACCCTGGAGTTTTTTACCACCCGAAATGACTCGCCAACTTATCCCAAGAAATGAGTCATCTCACTTTAATTATAATTGTAGTTCATGTTATTGCATGAGTACATTTTTGAAAACGAGCGACGTTAGGAGTGAGTTTTCAAATATGTACGATTGCAATAAAGCAACATTATAAACGAGTAGCATGCGCTATTTTTTGTATAACAGCTTTATAAATTTATACAAGAGAATCAAACTCAATTTTGGGAAACACCTTTCGTGTGTCGTCTCGGGTATTTGACATCAGGGCGACAAAACTGTAGCAGGGTTTTCCATTTTCCTCTTATTTCCCAACGATTCTCTCGCTGCGATTGGTTAGATGTGTGATGACGCAATCATTCGTGCCGTAAAATGCTAATACGACATCATTTGTGCCGTAAACCACCCATTTATGAATGATTTCTTGGAACAGCAAAGGTCGTTTATAATGCTGGTATACTAAAAAATATTAACTTGTAATAACACATCAACTTCGATGATGCATAAGGTAATCATGACTCAAAATTAATAAGACAACATTTTAAGTAATTCGTTAGAATGGAAATGATAGATGATGAAATAGAAAAAAAAATATTTCCAGCATTGACACCCGACAAATTGTACAACGTAACGCAAGTGACCTGACATTTTCTGTTGTAGCAGTTCGCTTCGATGAACGCTAATTTTTTAATTGCTGATCATTTTTTTCGTAGATTCGTTTGGACGAATTAGATACCGCAAAGTCTTGTACCATGAGAGGTATTAATCGAATGGTGCAAAAGCGTTGTGAATCAGACGTGTATTTTACCTACGACGGCCCACATTCCTTTTTTATTTTATTTTGCAATACATTAATCAACAACTAGATTTATTTGTCTCAACAATAACGACTTTCGCTGTTGCTGTTGATTTGGCGAAAGCATGAAGCATCGTTAACATTTAACGGTTAAAGTTTATAATAAACGCTCGTAGTTCCTTTTAAAAGTGTTTGTGTCAAACATTGTTAAATAGTTCAGAGTATTTATAAAAATGCAGATATTTTTAAAAGTTCCCTTTATTTTCTCATATATTCATGGTTAAAACGTATGTATAGTTATGAATCCATAAAAACTTTTCATTATCAAATCGTAATAACTCATAGGAGACCTTTTTTCAATTTGTTTGTTGAAAGTACAAAGTAAAGTTATTATTTAAGTCTGCTTTTTTTGATGACTTATTAAGAAAAAAATACAAAAAACAAAAAAACAAAACAAACAAGAAGACACAACTAGCATTGCGGTTGGGGAAAACGTGAAAACACATCTAATTAATAGAGGCCGAATTGTTATGTAATTACATATTTTTTGTCTTTCTGTTTACAGTTCTCAAAAGTATAATCTTGGCAAATTGTCGCCGTCCCAAACAATGTCCAATTTTTTCATTACATATTTTTACATAGTACGATACGGTATATTTTGCTATTTTCACAAAATATTTTTTTGTATTCTATCAATTTTCTTACATTTTTTATGGGAATAAGTATTCTAAAAAAATAATAAGAATTTCCCCCTACGTTATTACCTAGGGCTATGAACTCGAAGTGCGCTACGTGACGGACGGATATTCTCTGGCGTGTCTGCTCCAGTTATTACTCGCGCAACTTTTCTTGAACGATGACCTTGCTTCCCCCTCTCTGAAACAATGAACAGTTGAAGACAAAAGCTCGCGGCGTGCTGATGACAACTATCCAAACATATCTTCACTGGCGCGAAATAGAAAATATTTTCCGTTGAAGACGAGAACTTCAGAACGTGATTTTCTCCAAAAAATTGAAATAAATGACCAAAGCAGGTGAAGATTCATCACAGGAAATACCTCGAACTACTGAGAAAATTAGAACGCAAATTATTAAGAAAGTTGCGAAGGCATGATTGATTCTCCAGAGATTGGCATTGCTTCACAAAATCTAGTGGTTGATTTCGTAACTAATACCCCCATTCTACCCGCATTTCTTCAATCCATCGTTCAAAAAAAGTTGCGCGAGTAATACCTCAGTTGCGGGAAGTGCGCGTCAGCGACTGAGATCATTTTCACCTTCGGATGCAAAAAGTGTTACTGACGCCGCGTTTCGTGTTATCTTTAATCCCGATTTCCGAGAAACTGGCGTCCGCCGACGTGGCACACTCTGATGAGAATTCTGCAAGCTGCAAGTGATAGTTTGCAGGTCGTAAATATTGCCAGTTTGTTCCATACTCCTGTTGCTTCTAGTCTGGCTGCTAAACTACGGTCTTGAATAACAATATATGAAGCTTTTATTACTGAGGGGAAAGTTGTATGCTGCAAAGTGTGCGTCATCTTGTGTTCCCCAAATAATTTTTAAAGTGTATGTATTATTTTTAATTTGTTTAGGAAAATGTTTATGAACGAAATTTCGCATTACGTAAATGTGTTTTATAATTAGTGTATTTTAGTATTATGTATTATATCCGGTTTTACATATTTTTTACATAACCTTACTGATTATTACATATTTATGTACATATTTTGACATTTCATACTACATATTTTTCCGGTCTCTACCAATTAGTCAAGTTTGGTTAATATTTTAAAGAATATGTGGGGCGTTATTTTTGTTTCGTGTGGAGGAGTTGAGGTGTCTGCTGATGTTGAATCTGGTTAAATTTGGTATATACATTAGGTTAGATTGGAAATAAAATGTAATGGGCTTTGGGTTCGAGATTGGAATACTTAATAAAGCTGATTATTGGGTATGAACTATGGTGCACTTGTTGGACTTGTTAGAAATTAATTTTGAAATATATGGATTTTATTTAGATTAGTTTTGGGTATATTTAACTATATTATAAATGCGTAAAATAGAAGTATATTGTGAATGTTGTATTTGCCAAATGACTGTTTCTATTTATTAATGATTTTAATTGAAATAATTTGTTTTAGTGTGTATTATTGTAATAGCTATATTTTCCAGTTTATCTATGTCTCAAGATGTCGTCCTATGTATTTTGTTGGTTTGTTTGGAGGGTACCGGTTCATAGTTTCATTATCTAATGTTAATGCAATGGGTGGTGTAGGAAGTTTTAGCTGCAGTTTTGCTTGGGGTTTCTTTAATTTTTGATTTAGCTTTCTATAAGGTATATTTGAATTCTGTTTTTGATTGATATGATATTGCTGATGAGTAAATTGCTAAGTCATCGGCAAATTGGCTATTTTTATGGGATTTAATTTTGGAACTTATCTAAGCCTGCAACCTAGAGGTTAAAGAGTGGGCGACAAAAGGGATCCTTGAGGTAATCCTTGATTTTAGTATGATCTCCATGGGGTAGTGGGGGATGCCGTTTTTTCACTGAATTCATTAATGCTTAGCGCAATTGTGTTGAACGAAATCTTGTACTAGAATATAACCAGAGCCAGGAAATTCAAGCCTTTATTTTATGTAAAATAGGCATGTAAAAAGGCATTTGTTGTAGCTAAAGTAAGGGTTTGAAAAGGCATGTAAACAATAAAAACTCACATGTAAAAGGAATTTAAAAAAATCAATAATTAAAATTATTCAAACCAAATTATTATTA